ATTGATATTAATTTATAAAACTCTGGTACACCCCAGACACAGCTGAAGCCATATTAATTAAGTGTTGTATACCACCTCTAAAGAGCATTATAATAGAATCCCTCAGTCTTTCTTGTGTTTAACCACTTCTTCAACAAAGGCAAATTGTGTACTTCACTTATAAAATCAAATGAAATACGCAAGCACACACGTTGTAAAACAGTTATTTCTCCAATTTGCCAATGCAAAATATCAGTCAACTTAAAGGCAGTATGATGGGGATTTCCTTTGTGTATTTATGTATGAAAATAACTTTAAAGTTTGCTTTCATCTATTGTTCCTTGCTTTTAAGTAAATTGTATGTATAATTTATCCACATGTCCTAATTTATCCATGAAGGTTAAATCAGGAGTGGTTTCTCACTTACAGAGCAGTCACCTACCCTTCGGAGAAAAATGAAACCTCTTTACTATCAAATCATTTTAAATGTTAAAAAGTTCACTTTGCACCTACCTTTGTAATAGTGTCCAGATTATGTGGAATTTACCTGTATTGCTCAGTAGAGCATCACATTCCTGGGAATGCTTTTTGCTTTAGGGGTATTAAATTTAAACACAATAAATTTACCATTCCAGTATACGGGGAAGGATTGCATTTATTTTTCCTTTATGGCTCTTTATTTTGTGGTCTCTCTTCACTGGAGGAAATAAATAAAACATTGTATTGAAATTATGAAATGCTGATCTTTTTGTATCTCATGATACTATATTTGGATCTCTGTAAGTTTAGAAACTAGAAATACATGCTGATTTTTTTCCTAATTTGTCTTTAGCTGGGTACCTTTGTAATAATGTGCATGTTTGTTTTTCCATTTGAATTAAATCTAACCTTCAGCTAGAGTGTAGGTCTTAAGCATATGGGGGAATTTTGCTAATTTTGTTGACTATTGTACAAATCGTGATACTGTTTATTGATAGAAATATGGTTCTATTTCTTAAAAACACAAGGTTTTTATTTCCTTATACTATTTTATAAGCTAAACACTAAAAAATTTTATGTCTAGAAGTGTGTTGGAGCTTGTCCTTTATTATTTAGACATGCAGATTCCTAATTGTAAAGATTAAATAAATGCATTCCTTTTGATGCTGCATTCACACTCTTGGCACAGTGCATAACATAGAAAAGGAACTTAATAAAGATTAGTGATTGTTATTTTATGACTTCTAGAAATTCTTATTTCAAGGTTTGGTTCTTGGTGAAAACTACAAATTTTGGATATCTTGTAGCACTGGTGGAATCATTAAGTTATGAATTCACAAATTAGCTTGTGAATTGCTTAAGCTTACTATTCCTATTTATTGACATGTTTACATTTATAATATTGATGTTGCATTAATGATGTTTTGCTTAATTTCACTACGTTATAAGTTTAGCATATTAATTACAGCTTTTGTGGTGTGTGAAGAGAAGTAAGCATAGTTTCTACACTCAAGAATTGATCTTAACTGTGCAGAAGTAATGGCAATGAAACAGTGATTCAGAAAACAGTAACTAACCAACTTCTTGAAATATTTTTTTAGTTGTCCCTTTTTTTAAAAAAAACAAATAACAAGAATTGGGGCATTAATGTACATACAGACAGTAATTTTTGAATATATATTTGTGTAGAGACAACTATGTTTCTGGTTTATTCCAAAGTGGGGTGTGCTTATGTTGTTGAGTTTGATGCCCTTCTTCTTTGGTACCCTTCTTTGATATCCTTCTACAGCAGCACATTTGTATATTCCTTCTGCTACATTTTCTATACAACTGGAAACTTACCTGTTTGGATACTTCACCACTTGATTGTTAGTTACTTAAGGTTGATTTAAACCTTATTTATCTATGTATCACCAGCATCTGATAGAGTAACATCCCTATTGTTCTTTATATCTTTTTTTGTAGATCTGGGAGCCCATCTGGTCTCATTTCTCTTCAATCTGAAAACTTTTCACATATTTTTGTAGTATAGGTCTGTTGGAGATACATTCTCTCAGCTTTTGTCTGTTTGAAATGTATTTTGCTTTTATTTATGAAAGGTATTTTCACTGGCTACAGAACCACAGGATAACAGGTTTTTTTTTTTTTTTTTTTTCCTTTTAGTACTTTAAAGATGTTATCCATTGTTGTCTGCTACCATTGTTTCTGGTGCAAAATTAGTTTGTATTTTACTTATTTCATTTGTATAATTTTTCTTATGTAGTGACTTTTTATTTCTCTAGCTACACTTTCATGATTAGTCCTTTATTGTTAACTTTCAACACTTTGACAATAAGGGTGTCCAGATGTGGGTTTTCTGATTTTGGTGTTTACTCTTGGAGTTTACTGAGCTTCTTTCATCTCTGAATTGATACTTATCAATTAGTTCAGTCATTATTTCCTGAAATAAGTGTTCTGCTCCATTCTTCTGTTTCTCTTCCTCAATTACACTTGTGTTAAAATATTTTATGATCTATAACAGATAATGGTTGCTTTGTTCCTTTTTCCTATTATGTGTTATGGATATTTTGTGTTGATCTGTATATAGATTTCTCAGCAGTGTCTGGGTTATTGTTAAACCCGTCGAGTCAATTATGCATTTCTGGTACTTTTTCCTACTCCATCTACTTTATTTTTAAAAAAGAGTTTCCATGGCGTTGCTGTAGAAATTCCCTATCTCATTGGGGAATTATACCCTCCAGCATTTTCATAAATCTTATTTTCAATTATCGGATAATTTCACCATCTGGGCTAACTCTAGGCCTGTTTCTTTTCATTATGGGTCAAGCGTTCTTTGTGTATATAGCAATATTTGACTATATGGTAGACATTTTATTTTATTTAATTAAAGTAGAAATTAAAGTAAATAATATTTGCTTCCAAGAAAGGGCATGACCTTCTTAATCAGGCTGCTACAATTGGCGACTGAGCAAATGTTGAGCTGGGTTTGGCGTTAAGTGCCGCTCTAGTTTGATTTAGCTCATCCGTGGTGTCCGTTATCTTGAGGACTTGGGCTCTGACTGCGTATGAGATTTCTGGAAATCTGTTTTATTTTTACAACTGACCTGTTAGATTTCAAAAGTGTAGGGTATCTGTTTCTGTTTTAAAGTCCTGATACCCTCTTTTATGGTTAATATTAGAGTTCTTTTTTGCTTTTAGTTCTATTTCTGGTTTACTTCTTCAAACTTCTCTCTCTGACCTGATATCTTGCCCCAGCCTTCAGATGGTAGTGTCCTGGATGCCTTTTGAGGCCAAAGCAGTTTTTGGAGAGCTGCTGCTTTGTCTTTGGAGAGCTGCTGCTTTGTCTTTGGAGAGCTGCTGCTTTGTTTTTAGAGAGGCTTCTCATGCCTCAGAGGAAATCTTGCAGAGCTTTCCTGCCTTGCCCCAGCCATTGGCTTGCTACCCCAGGCAGATGGTGAAGACTTGAAGGAAAGAGTTAGCAGGTGGGTGCAGACTTGCTCCTTGGCTGGGCCTTCTGACTTAGGTGCCTTGGAATGCTCACCTCTGATGGCAGCACTAATGGAGCTGTCAGGGGTTCATGAGAAATTTGACTGGTTTTTCTGTATCTTTAACTTCTGCAGCTGTTTGTTAGGGCTAAACAGGATAAAGCAATTTGCCATTCCTGGTCTGTAGTTTTTACAGACTTTTTTTTGTGTGTGTGTCTTTAGCTCCATGATGGGTTGAAAACAACAATAACTATGACTTGATGGGATGTCTGGCTAGGTTGGTTTGTCAGGATGAAAACAGCGATGTCCTGTGACTCCTTCCAATCCTCCCTGAAACTGTCATAGTCTAGTGCTTTAATGTTTAGGTCATGTTAGCTCATGTGAGTTCAGTGCATAGTATTTTTCCTAAACTATAGTCATAGTGAATTTAAAGGCCTATTTTTGAAAGATAAGCATTATTTCCTTTACATATCATTTGAAGAAAGCCTACTTTAATAAAGTGAATTAATCACACTGTGACTTAATATCCTTTTAAATGGAGAATTTAAGTGTCATATTTCTTTAATGAGCTATACTAGCTCTATTCAACAGAGTGTTCTATGATAGAAATGTGTATGTGCTTTTGCCAATGTTTTATCACTAGCCATATGTGACTCTTGAGCATTTGATAGGTGGATAGTACAAGTAAGGAACTGTGTAGCTTAATAATAACATGCATAGTTATGCTGAGAAATTCACAGAAACATTCTTTTTAAGTATATTTTTGCTCATAATACCTACTTTAAATTTTTTTTGCCTTTCTGATTGTTACTACTTGAAACATTGTATAAATCTGGGTTCTGTGATGAATAGAACTGTGAAATTCAAGCAATTTTCAGTGAATGAAATGAAATTAGCTTTGCAAAATCAGTATCTATTCACTGTGAAATATTAGTGAACTATTTGTACTAGTTGTAGAAGAAAACCCATTGTAAGACAAATCTAGCTTCAAAAATACCCCACGTTTTTGTGAAGCTGTAGCCACCCCTCTCTATAGTTGCTCATGAAATTCAAATACAGACCAATTAGTAAATGAAAATGTGTCTATTAGGCCAACAAACTATGGAGATCAAAGTAGAATTCTAAACATTCCTAAATCATGGCCACCCCGTTTCATCCACAAGTGTAAAATGTACAATGAAAAGGACATTGGACAAGAGAGCTGGGAGCACACAGAGTGTGTTTGAGGTTGTTTAGCTAAGTTACCTTTATAATACTGTTAATTTACTAATCTGTAAAGGTGACCTTGTCATTAGATTCTCAGTTCTATAACTTTAAAGTTGGAGGAAAACTTTTTTAAGATTGTCTTTCATCACTTTTTTTCTAGATAGGATGGCTACTGAAAATATTTAATTTCTATATATTTTTAATTTTAGAGAATTCAGTACTGAATGTCTCCTTGTGAAATCACATTGATAATGTGATTGAACTTTTTTTTTCCATTTTGGGAATTAGATTAATGTTGAAGAAGAAATGCTTAGAAATGAACATTTTAATCTTTCCATTTTATCTTTGTAGCTGGACAGATTTGCTAGCATAAGAATTCCAGGCAGCAAGAAGGAGAGACCTCCACTTTCCAACTTGAAGACTGTCTTTGCGACCAGTGATTGTTCTTCAGAGACAATGCAAAACATTCCAAAGCCATTGTCGGAAAAAGAAATCTTAGAACTTTTTGAAAAGATGATGGTAAGAAGTTTTATTTTTTTAAATAAAATGTTTGCTTGATATTAGAGCCTTAGTTTTTGGTCTTTATTAACTCTTATTATTATGAGTTTATGTAATTTCAACCTAGAACTGAGAACCTTTTTCTTTTTTGCTATCCTTTGTCTCTATAATGAGACTTGTATAAAGATAGTTCTCTTCTTGACCATCTTCTAAGAACTAAAGAGTAAAGTACCCTTGACTCACCCCTCATCCATATATGCATGTGGAACTACTCATCTAACTATACAACAGATTCTGGAATGGTACTTTTTTGGGTTCACTTGTGACTCTCTTGTTTAGAAAAAGTTATTTTCAACAGAATTGCTGGTACCATCTGAGTAAGTAGAGTGAACAGGCTGTTGACCTCAGACTTTCCGAAGATCATATTTTTTTACTATATGCCATTAAAACTACCACTAGCATAGAAAGTTTTGAATATATTTTGGTTTAGAGTATTCTGTTCCGGACTCGATTGCTTACGGAGTATCTTCTATGACTCTTCCCCAGGAAAAGGATAAGAATATAAATTTTAATACTATGTACAGTCCAGGAGGATATTGATGTTTTTGAAGTGTTTACAGACTTTATATTTAATAAGTAGGCCCTATCACTTGTTAAACCTTAAATAGGTCTTCCTGCCAGCAGAAGACCTTTTGCAATCAAATCACTTTACTCAAAAGTATAAAAAAATTGTTGCTTTCTCAGGGCTGACTGATTTGCTAATAAATAAGTTGGTCACAACTATGGCATTTTTAAAAAAGAAATAAGGAATTGTTCTTAACTTCCCTGTCTGATTCCTTGACCATATCACAATGTACTGCAGGGAGAACCTGCTGATGATTCTGAAATTGAAAAGGGTCTTTGTCCTTTTTGAAATGTGGAGTAGTGATATTTCTGAGACTTTTCAGGGAACCACATTTTTGACAAATTTAAAGCTGTTTTTATATCTGTGGAGAGATACTAGATTTAGATTGCGTTTGATTTTTGGCTTGCACCTCTCTAGTATTTTTAGTAATAAAAATTTTTATGAAGAAGTAGTATTTAATAATCTGCCATTTTTACCTCTGGCATTTGCACCTACAGAAGTTTCATACTAAGTAAAATTTGCATGTAGATCCTTTGTTTTGTAATTTTATAATTTTAAAATCTCATTTAATGTCATCAAAAGTATTTAATTTTTACATGAAGTAAAAATCTTTGTTTTGAAGAACACCTCTTTTCCCTCTCAAGACAGTCCTTTGAGAGTGTGCTAACTTGATTACTTAATGAATGCGAAGTACAGTGTGATACTTCAACATTTGTATGCATTTCACTTTTATTTCGGAAATTGATTTCCTTGGTCTCTGGGTAATAGTTTCACTGTGCATTTTATTTTTTTTCCAAAAAGTGATGACTTATTTACTTACACTTCTTCTTAAGGGCTTTTTCCCATTTGGTAAAAGTGGAATTTCACCTAAAAATCCATGTTGGTTTTTCTGTGTATCTTTGATATGTGAAATAGTGATATATATATCCTTGTATATACAACTTTGATTTCTTAAAATTTTCTTTTATTGAAGCAATACTGGTTTATATAAGTTATACCATATCTTTTGGATATATAGCAGTATAAAGCAACATGTGGCCCCTTTTTCTCTATTTCCTTACCTTTTCCCCTTCAACTATTTTATTCTTCTAAGAGTTTATTTGTTTATCAGTTTCCACAGGGAAGATAAAGAAAACACTGTATGATTTCACTCCTACCGTTTGACTTATTTTTCTTAGCATAATATGCTCAAGGTCCATCCATGTTATTGAAAATGGCAAGATCTCCTTTTTCAGTAGCTGAATAGTATTCATTGTGATTGTATACCTCATGTTTATCCAGTCATATGTTGATAGGCACTTACGTTGTTTACAACTTTGCTAATTGTAAATAATGCTGCAGTGAGCATGGGCGTGCATATATTTCTTGGAAATAGTGTTTCCATATCCTTCAGGGAAATACTGAAAAGTAGGATAACTGGATCATATGGAATCTCCATACTGTTTTCCATAATGCTCCAGTTCACACTAACAGTGTGTAGAGGTTCCGTTTCCACATCCCTTTCAACACTTGCTGTTTCTTTTTTGGATAATAGCCATTCTCACAGGTTGAGGTCATACCTCACTGTTTTGATTTGCATTTCCCTAATAATAGGTGATGAGCATCTTTTTATGTGTCTGTTGGCCATTTGCATGTCTTCTTTGGAGAAGTGTCTACTTAACTCTTCTGACCACTTTTTGATTGGGTTATTTGTTTTCTTATTGAGTTGTATGAATTCTAGTAGATCTTGGTTGTTAATTCCTTGTTGGATATATGATTTACAAATTTATTCTTCAATTCAGTAGGGTGACTTTGTTTTGGTGATAGTTCAGTAGTTTAGTTTAGAAGCTTTTTAATTTAGTGTAGGCCCTCCCCACCCCACCTCACTCCACTCCCCCTTTTCTTCTTGGCTGTTATTTCATTGCCATTGGAGTCAAATTCTCATAGGTTTTCATTAAGACCAATGTCAAGGAGCATATAATCTGTCATTTGTATTTTAAAAGGCTTTAGGTCTTACATGCAAGTCTTTAATTCATTTGGAATTAGTTTTTGTGTTGTGGGTTTAGATAGTGGTCTTGTTCCATTCCTAAGCATGTGGTTGTCCATATTTCCTGGTAACATTTATTGAAGAGGCTTTCCTTGCTGCATAGTAAGCTTTTGGCTCTTTGCCATGATTGTCCATATGTGTGCAGATTTATTTCTGGGCTCTCAATTCTGTTTCATTGAGCTGTATGGCTGTTTTTATTCAAGATGATCCTATTTTAATTACTGTCACTTTTGTGGTATAGGTTGACATCAGGGAATGTGATACCTCCATTTTAGATTTTTAGTCTCAGGATTTTTTTTTTTTTGGGGGGGTACTCATGGACTTTTGTAGCTGTAATACTTCCGAAAAATGCCATTGTGTTTATGATAGGGATTGCATTGAACCTGTGTTTTGATTTACATCTTTTATTTCTTGAAGTCAAATTTCAGTGGTTACTTTGTAGATCCCATGTAACTGATTTTTTTTTTTTTTTAAGTAGGTGTGCATGATTGGTACAAGCTGAAAGTGACTACTTGTCCCTAGTCAGTGCCTCTTCAAACCAGCTCTGAGGGTTTATTTTTTTTCCTGCCCCTGGATAAAGTCTCAGGCAGGTCACTAAACCTTTCTGTTAGCTTTTAAATAATGAAAACCCTGATTCAATGTAATTTTCATCCAAAGAAGGTTTCTTCTCTCCCCTCTTGCAAGTCTTCTCCATTTAGATTCTCCAGTAGGGGCTGCTGTTGGAGGTATGGCTGGCGTCTTCTGTTGCCCTACTTTGCTTCTCTCTTGCCCACTCTGGCCTGAATCTCTTTCCTCCAGGACTAGGTCGGAGAGAGGAGATGAGGAGAGGGAAGGAATAATGTGAGCCACGTGAGGACCTAGAGTATTTATTATTTGGCATTGGTGTGGTGGAGAGTTAGTTTTTTATTGCAGCTGTAACAGTTGGCACAGATTTGTTGGCTTAAAACACCGATGAATTGTCTCATTGTTCTGTACGTCAGCAGTCCAGGTTGATTTAACTGGATTCTTTAGGTTTCACAAGGCTGAAATGGGTATTAGGCTGGACTTTAATCAGAAATGTTGGGAGGAATCCTCTTCCAAGTTCATGTTGGCAATGTCTAGTTCCTTGCTCTTGTGGCACTGAGGTCCCATTTTCCTTGCTTTAGTATCCAGAAGCCTCTTTTCTGTCCTTCGTGTGAGTTACATCAAGTCCACCTCATACTTACATAGACTCTGACTCACACTTCTATATCATCTCTTGCCGCCGTCTGGAGAAAGTTCTTTAAGGGTTCAAGTTTTTTTTAGATTGGTTTACCCAGATCATCAAAAATAATTTCCTTATTTCAGCTTGCTACTTCATTTTTGTCTGCAAAGTCCCTATTGCTACATAATAAAATATATTTATAGGATCCAAGGATTGCATTGTGGACATCTTTGTGAGATAACTTTGCCTGTCAGAGGTGCATATTACAAATGATGATTACTTGCTCCCATGGAATTTTTATGGTCCCCTCTCCTCCCAGTGTCATTGAAAATTCCCTTGTCACTGGTGACATGTCCTTTGTCTGACCTTCTGGCCCAGTCTTCTATGAACCCATTCCTCTGCTGGAGGTACCTTTTTATGTATACTACCCCTCAGATGGCCCAGACTTGCTTGTGTCCTGGGACCCACATTCTGTCCATGGAAAATTAATGTGTCCTTTGCCCTAATTCCCATCCTTTTTCTTTCTTTAGACCCTGTCCTCTTAAAAAGAGTGGATTACTTTTTTCAGGAGGTTTGTAATTTTGCTATTTTGTTCCAGATGTTTACCTGTCAAGTGTAAATGGCTTTCTTCTAATGGTCAGATCCAGTTTGCAACAAGTAACAATGCTTGTTTGGTTTTCTTTTCCTTTGGGTAAGATTACACTTTTCATTTTCTTGCTTTTTCTTCCTCTCTGGTCAGTTCTTAACAATAGATTATCCAGGTTTTCTTTTCTGTCCTTCAACTCTACCCTGTTTTCTTTGAGTATCACTCTGGTCCTTTTGTCTTTTCTTTATCCCCTTTGCTTCTATACACATTCCCTGCAGGATTGGAACCTTTTCATGTTGTAGGCTGTCCTCTCTATTCTGATACCTTGCTGTGTCTTCTGCAGAGGAGCAGTTATACTCATGCTCTCTCAAAGATGCTGAATTTTAGCAAACCAGAAACTGTATTTTCTTTACCCCACTTTATTGAGACAGAAATTTTGTTACTGATACGCTTACATAATATGACATTGTATAAGTTTGATATGTACAATTGTGATTCCAGATATTTAGAAGTTAATACTATTAGAAGGTTAGTTAACACATATATCACCTCATGTAGTTTTATTTCCTCCTGTAGTGAGAAATTTTAAGATGTACTTTCT